AGCACAATTTGAGGAAATGCAATGTGTGCCGGAACCTGTTATCGACAATGAGGCAGAAGACTTCAGAACTGACGGGACGGTGCAGATTTACAAGAGGCTTGAACTCCTCATCAGGCATGTCTGCGTTTGCTTGTCAGTGCGATGCAGACAATGGGAGGTGTGTACGAACCAGCCGAGAAGACGTCATACAGCGTCCAAGCCCGAAAACGCCGTCCATTGTCCACGTATGGACCTACAGGAAAGTCAAACGTAAAAGGATAGTTGTCGAGATTCCCCATCATTGCTGGGGACGATGCAGGACGCGTGAGTTGCGGAAGTGACGCGACTTCGAGCGCGCAGACGCGCAGCGACCTTGGGAAGCTTGGCATACGTAACAGCCCATGTCGGATGGATGGCTTCCTTCCGGTTACAACCTCAGCGGCGCAGTCAACACACATACGGTCAACTTAGCATGATTTATCTTCGCTCTTACCACGAAATTTAACTGATCGAGTCATTGCTACCTGCTCAAATCGTGTAGATGCAAACGAGCCATCCAACGCACTCGCGGTTCAGACCGAAAACCGCTGGGCTACCGCCCTCTGCCTCATGCAAAGATGGACCCATTGGGTATCTTCGCCGTCGTTGCGTGAACAAAACAGCAACGTCGGTTGAATACTCTCATAGACTGCGCTTCAAGCTTGGCAGTGTTACCTGCTTCTAGCGTTTGCGGATGGTCAAGCTTCTGGTTGGCCAGTTATCCAGCTGGGTCGCGCAAATAGCCCGATTCGACATCGTGTGCATCTAGATTGCGGGACATGTGGATAAAGACAAACTACTCACACTGTCTGTACGTATCCGCGAAGGCCACAAAGACAAGTATTAGGCATGTATAAAAGATGAGCTGTCAGGAGCGGTTTACATGGTACCTACCTCCAGGTGGAGATCATAATTCGTCGCCATGACATCTTTCGACAACAAAATTGTCATCATCACGGGTTGCAGCAGCGGCATTGGCCTCGCGACGACCCTCCTCTTCCTATCACAGAAAGCCCAAGTCTTCGGCATCGATATGTCGCCGTTCGACCAAGACCTTGATGTCACCCAGAAAGCGTTATTCACCTTCCACAAAACCGACCTTTGCAAACCCGGCTCAGCAGAAGATGCCATAGCTGCTTGCATCGCAAAGTACGGACCGAAGATCGACGTGCTGGCTAATGTTGCAGGCATCATGGATGGTTTTGGCAGCGCCGATACAGTCAAGGACTCGGAATGGGAGCGCGTCCTGACCATCAACCTCACAGTACCGGTCAGAATGATGGCAGCTGTGTTGCCCAGTATGAAAGACCAGGAAAGCGGTGCCATCATCAATGTTGGTAGTTATGCAAGTCTTTCCGGTGCAGTGGCAGGCATCGCATACACAGCCAGTAAGCATGGGCTTGTCGGTGCGACCAAGAACGTCGCATGGCGCTTTCGCAAAGACGGTATTAGGTGTAATGCCGTACTCCCAGGCGGTGAGTACCGCGTCTAGTCCTTGAACTCAGAAGATCTTATTCTAACAAGAGTTTCAGCCGTGCCGACCAACATCCGCTCGTCTGTGGTGAAAGAGGACGTCGATCAGGCTGCAATGGAAATGTACAAGTAAGGGCTTACAGCCCTTGATACCCTGTCATCGCTGACAAGCTAGCAGCCCCGTGCAGATGTTATGCCAAGGTCTCGAAAGAGACGATCTTCCATACGGATCAGTGGGCCCGAACGATATCGCACAGGGCATTGCATTCCTTGCGTCTGATGCTGCAAAGACGATCAGCGGTATTATGATGCCGATAGACAATGCTTGGTCGACGATATAGGAGGCGGGCTCAGTACTAAAGAAGCTGCTCGCTGATGGCGTAGCGCGGCGCTTATCCAGAGGACTCAGTCAACACAAGCAGTCAACACAAGAAATCTGGAGACTTCGCCGACAAGTTCGAACACGTAGTAGAAGATGACGGCCTATCTATCAAGTTAGTAAATGATAGCGAGACACGAACAACACTATCCCAAAGCAAGAAATTATCAATCAATGAAATTCGTTATCGCCTGCTGGGCAATCATGCCTCTCCGACAGCAACATCCAGCTCTCGCCGCCTCTTTCGTGCTGCCGCTCATCCGCGCAGCAACTCTGCCAAGAATGCCTCCGTCGGCTTCACATCGAGAACTGTTCCAACCATGCCTGCCTCTACTAGGCCTCAGTCTACAATCAAGCGCTGCACGGTCCTGACCGCTAGCTCCGCCTCGTTGCAACAACCACTAGTTCGACCTCGACCCAGCACAGACTCATCGGTGAAGCTGTTCAGCGAAGGAGTCGGCCTTCGGGGACTGCCAGGATGGTGACCAGGCTTCCAGCAAGTTTTGCGTACATGCAGTTCGCATGTTGACATACATCCAGGTGCTCTGGCGCAGATATGTCCCCTAGCGAATCAAGCCATGATATCTAAGCGCTGCTTTGCACCAGTTGAACTGCCTTCTCCCGATAATGTCGGTCAGCTCTTTGCTGTGGTACTTCATCGCAATGTCCACCCGTTCCTCGTGGGTCAGATTAACGACTTTCTTATATGCCCATGGGCAATCTCCAGGGAACGTGAAGTCTTCTGGGCCCAAACTCATAGCCCAACGGGTGAGCCAAGGGCCGTATGGAAGTTCTTCCGGCTCAGGAGACTGTCGAGCAGTTCTTGCACGCTTCTTTGCCTTTGGTCGCGTTGACGGTGTTGGTTGCTGAGAAGGCCCCGCTCCATGATTCGCAGTATCCCTCATTGCCCTCGGTTGCGTTGGTGGTGGCACCTGCTGAGAAGCACTCTGACTTGCAGCCTCCCTTTCTGCCCTCATCCTGGCACCGGGCAGCTTGTCGGGATAAAATTCCTCGAAGGCGTCCCATAAGGGCGCCCACTCTCCATCCAGGAAATTTCCCTGCGCAATCGCATCCGAAAGCTCATTGACAATATTCAAGGGGACTTGGAAGAATGGCTTGCCACTGAACGGAACTTCTGTCCCTTCTTTGTCGAATCTTGCCGGCAAGCACCACTTCTTGAGGTCTAGAGGCTCATCCATTTCTTTCCTTAGAGCATCGAAGGCTTTCGCCAAACTCTTTTGCGGGTTTATTAGATCCAGCCCAAGTTCGCGAAGGTAAGCGTAGACAATCCTTCCGACGTCACTTTCCGTAGGTTGATGAGGTGGGGAGTGTGTTTCCTCGGAGTCCGGCGTGGGCAACCGTGGAGGTGGCGCCATCTCAGTAGCCTTGCCTTTGCCCTTGTCTTGTCTCGATTGTAGTGGTGTTTCCGGAAGTTCAGTACGCTCGGCTCTGAATTGCATTGCCGCACGCGAAGAGACAGGAGACGAGATGTCCATAGCGGCTTCAGAAGGAGGGATTGAAACGCCTCCATTAACGCTTACATTGCTCAATGCAACACCACCATCAACGCTTTCTGGAACACCGCCATCAACGCTTTCTGGAACACCGCCATCAACGCTTTCTGGTACACGTCCATCAACGCTTTCCATGTCTACATCCTTGGTAAGGTCCACGTGCACTCGCTGCTTGGTGGTAGACGCCGACCGCGACTTCGGATTGCTGGAGGATGCTTTTCGGGAGTTGTTCTTGGACTTGTGTTGGTTCGGGGAGGTTGGGAGAGGTCGTATATCGTCGAAGAATCGCTTCTTCCTTACGGAGAATTCTTGCTCCGTAGGGCGGGCGCGCTTTGCGGGAACGTGTGGTTGTTGCTGTTCGGTCACGTCATGGTATCTATAGGAAGAGATCAGCTGGAGAGCTCTTGTAACTACTCGCAAGATGCTCACTCTACAGGATCGGAATACCCCAAGCGACCTTTCTCGGGTGGGTCATACGTGATTTTACTAGGAGTCCACTCGTCCACTGGCATGATGCTGTCTGGACAGGTTCAAAGCTGCAAGTGCTGTCTTCTTCACGGTTCGTGTGCGTTGGTACCTGAATGGAAGTCGTGGGTCCAACGGGAATGCAACGGGAAGAGGGGCGGGAACTTCGCGCTTTTGACGCGCGTTGAAACTCTCCACCGCCTCCTGATTCTGGGTTCTATCGAATGTCTGTGCGCGTGATGCAGATGGATCCGCGGATGCGGGGCTCTGCCGAACCAACGAGGTGGTGGGCCGTTCGTTGTGACATCTGCACGAGCGAGGATGCAGCTCCATCGCTTTCATCTGATCTCCGTTTTTTACCGTGGTGGCAACTCACAATTCGTCCACCAGGTATGGCTATCGCTGTGTCGACGAGCTGTCGTTTTCTCGTGAGCGTCTCACCACGTCAGCGGCCCGCTTGACTAGTTAGTGGCTTGGCAGCCTTCTCTGTCCCGCTTCTGGAACGCCTCCAGGGCTGCATCGCGTCCTACACAGCGAAGGATTCCAACAAATCTTGCGAAGAGAGACATTTGCAGGCATTGCACAACTTGACTCGCGTTCTTCAAACCGCCAAACCTGAGGTTGAGGCGAGGAGTTGCCGTGTCAGCACCTTCCCTTATCTTCTTTCGGCGTCGCGTCCATCATCTGCAACGCGACGGCGCTTTAACATCCGGAGATCATACCGTAGTGTTGCTTACGGGTAACGATGGAACACCAGAGAGTTTGAACCCGATGACAGCGCGGCGCCACAATATCGATATACTATGAAGATACGGTAGTCTCCTGGCATGAGAAATGAAAGGGTCATCGATCCTTTCGATCTGGCCGTGTGGCGAGCATTTACTTTTGCTGCTCTGCGGCCTCGACGCGTCGAATCTTCCTAACAACATTGATCGCGCACTCTACCTGAAGTGCAGGACCGAAGAACCCCCAGACAGACATCACGTGGTCAAAGGGCTGGACACTCCCGAGGTCAGCTTTTAGGTCGAGCTTTGCTGGGAACAATGTGGTCATATGACCGAAAAACGTATCGAGAGTGCCTGCTTCGTTCCTCACTCGTCTATTATATCTGCATATCAATATCATCGCGTTAATCGCATCCCATTCTGTTGCTACCCCGAATACCTCCTAGGATCATCCACCAAATTCTTCAATCTCCACGACTTTGGATCGTCGCTGAGGCTTGTACCCGGCAGTATGAGCTCCGAAAGAATTGGATGTGAAAACTCTAGGTCCGTTTCGTCCATTGGATCATTATCACTATCCGTCTCTTCGATCGTGACATAGCGCCCGACAGCGTTGCGAACGTCGGCACTCAATCTTTTCTTCATGACCATGAGCATGACACCGGCGATGAAGGCGCTTTTCGATTGCTCGTATAGGCCATTAAAGCATAAGACGAGTGTCGAGAGAAGGGATTCGCTGACTTCCTGGGGAGCGTTGCCTGGGTCTCGTTCGAGCTGTTCAAGAGGCTCCAGAGTTAGGTTGGCGAGCTGGGCCAGAAAGATGGTAAGCGTAGAGTCGTACGCCTCGAAACTATGGCGGAGGTAGTATAAGCGCAAAATACTCTCGAGTTGAACGCTTGCTTGGGTAACGATTCGCTCAGCTGCGTTGCGTTGATGCTGCGTCAACAGCTGGTCGCCATCATCCCCAGACGAGATCTGCGACCGGAACAAGGTTACAAGAGCCGCATAGTACTCGCAACTGCAACCCTCTTAGCTTTCATATCATGGCCATCTGGCATGACCACTTACTGTAGCATCAGATGAGCGGGGTATACGATACAGCGAGGCTGTAGTTGAGCAGGCAAACCTCCGTACCAGGCTTCCAACTTTGCCTGAATATGTAGAGCTGCACCCCAAGGCATCTTCCTAGACTCTTTGGAGCGACTAAAGCACATGACGCCGATCTCATTCTGGATGACCCGCAACTCGCACAGTGCTTTCATGCTATGGGCGAATTCGGGTGAGTAGGTCTGCTCGTCCGGTGGATAACGCAATGACATCTGGCCATACCACTCCGATCTACCATCGACGTCAGGAAGCGGATCTGCCGGGATATCCAAGAGGCACGGTGGCTTGAAGTAGTAGTAGCTCTGTAATCTGACAGAAGTTAGCTGAGGAATGATATTGAACAAGTGTACTTACGACAGCCACGCGGAAAGGGCCCAAGCAGTGAACGATTTCGCGTGTTCAAGTTTATTGTCATATGACCGAGGCGTGAAGAGACTCATTCGATGTGCCATGCTGAGCGCTTTGAACATGTAAGAGAACCCGACCCTGTCATGACCAAAGTCGTTCATCGTGGCGTTAATGAGGCAGCCAGCTTGAATCGTTGTAAGCTTTGGCTGCTCCTCCTCTAGTTCCCATAGTCGTTTTGCTTCAGCCAAGAATCGATATGGCAGGCTATCTGGATTCCAAAACTTGGTCTGGTTGGCAAACAGTCGAGAACTAACCTATGGCACGTTAGTGAACCCCCATCCATGATACAGGTGTACACTTACTCACACAAGATTTGGCCAAAAGTGCATTGACGAGTAGAGGAGAGCAGAACTCAGCTCTTCTCGATACCATGTCTTCTAGTAGATAATTCTTGACGAAGAAGAACTGTCTTGGATACTGATTGACAAAGTAACTTTCGAGAATGTTGCGCAGCAATCGATCGTTGGAGCTAACACTAGTCCATTGCGACGGTTGTGCATCCTCAAGTAGAGGGTCAACCAACTTGGCCGAGGACAAAGGTCTCCAGTAATTGCTCTCTTGCGGAGCAAGATGCGCCTCTGAAGTACCCATATCCCTGTCAGATGCATCGATTACTTCATAAACCCGTGATCGAAAGTAAGCGCTGTCCCGAAGGCTTGGTGGTATCTCATCCAGGAACGGAAAGTGAAAGCGCGACGACGCTTGCGGAACATCAGAAGCCTCAGCGACCATATTCCCTTCTTGAATATGCTTTACCACGGCCTCCGCATTTGCGCCGGCTCGAATGCGGCGAAAGATGCCGGCTGCGTCCCTCTCCGGTAGGTTTTGTAACATATCGAATACTTCTTCCTGGGCAGTACGCTTCTCTTTGAGCTGCTCGTATCTACGCTTGAACTGCCGTGATTCCGTCTCGCCATGACGACACTCAGTCTCTCGCGTCACGCATGCAGTGCATTTAGGCTTTAATCCGTCGCACTGTTTGTAGGTCAGCAAAAGCACCAAAGGCGCAGCATGTATGTACTTGCTCTTGACTTACGAACTCGGCAAGCCTCGCAAGCGTTGACACGTGTAGCCTTTTGCCTCTCCACAGATTCTCTGCGAACTCTACCGGCAGGTGCAGGTAGGAGTGAACGCAGTGGTGGTGGACTTCGTGAAGCTCCTTGGTCCATTCCTTTGAGACCGTGACGTCAGCCGCGTTGTTACTGCAAGATCAACTGCAAGGCTCCGGTCTATATAGACCTCTGCATGACTCTGTGAAAAACGCGTATCAGAAAAGTGCCACAGAAAGAAGCGCGAGTAGCTGGTATCTGGCGGGTGGAGGAAGGCTCGAAGGGGAATTTCGTATCGAGGTTTCGTGGCGCCACTTCGGCGCTATTGCCGTCCCGCCAATCACTTGCCGCGTCAGGATCTTCGATCCTCTGCAGCGCGAGCACGTGTCGCCGTGCTAGCGCGTTTTGGCATCGAAATCGTTCAAGAGATCGAACTTTCCGCCATCCTACATCAATAACGTGATGTCGGTGAGCCACTCCGTCTTCGAGCCACATCCATGCACTCAGCGCTCTTTGAAACCTGCCAAGCAACCAGCAGAATCGGCTATGCATCCGGCCCCTCGGTCTACGACACTGACTGGGTATTTCAATCCTCAGCCATAGTTGCCAGTGTCAGCCTGTGCCTAGGCCATGGCAATAGCGTATATCTCGCCTTCGCGGCGACTGCGCTCGTTTAGAAGAACCCTCACTCTAATGCCGAGATTGTGATCCGATACCCAGTGGGGCCTATGCTGTATGGTAACACAATCGGTTCTATCCTATAGATCGGCTTTCTGGTATGTATCGAATACCACACCGGCCTGTTCTAAAACGGGCGCGAGAAGCCAGGCAGGATCACTATCGCGTCGTTCCGCGGCATAGACCTCCGAATTGGATGTGTTGTGTACTCATCAACACTGCACTCTCAGCCCCTCCACCCTCTCCTGCGGCGTGGCCAAACATCCACAAACAAGAGAAAATTTGACCGTCATATGCAACGCAGAGTCTGACCCGACCAACATATTTGAGAATTCTCCCAAACAGGTGCGGGTTTTGCATCAGTCATACCTTGGAGGAGTCTAGCGATGTTCTCAGACGACTCTACTATCCTCTTTGAAGCGACAGTGGCGCGAAGCAGGACATTGGCATACTGGCGCTTATCTCGATTTTGTATCAGTCTGGAAGTACTGCAGTGTGGAGGATAATTCTAGAAGCAACCTGCTCAGCATTCGACCACGTTAACACTGGCCTCATTGTTCGAAATTAACGCCACTAGCTACCAATGTTCTGTCAATCTTCGCTTTTGGTGCCTTGCGCGGTTCGCCATCAAGGCTTTCGATTCTCTACTCCAATGACCACACCATCTCGGAGTCACACGCATGGGCGACATATTGTTCAGAGTTGAAATAGTCATTACGCCCTCATGAGAAGGGCTTGACGTGGAATTAATATTATAAGGCTATCCATAGAAGCAGTCAGTATACCGGCTTCTTGGTACAGTGTGACGATCGAGATACCCAGGCGGTTCTCGTTCCCGTGACCTCAGCCAACAGCTCCGCGGAGGTCCGCCTAATCGGATATTGCCCTTCATTTCCTGAACTTACGTAGGACTGTAGTACATTCTGGTAGCGACTACCCTACGCAGGCTATGCTGCTAGAAGAACACCCCTTGTCGTATTTGCATGGTCGCCTTATGATACTTCATGATACCTAGGTAGGAGTACAGCGCTGGCACAAACGGCGAGATCATCGTACGGGTAGGCGGCCCCTGTTCACGCACAAGACTTCGGGAGTCTGCCTCGTGAGACCTCCCACAAATGTTTGCTCGATATCTAGGTAGCACGGCATTTTCTTTCCTGCGCACTCTATCTGCGTTACAATCTCAAAGTTGACATCATGCGAATGTTGAAATTGCGAAATGCCATGAGTGACGTATCGGCGATGTGGCACCATCCTGATGTACCTGGGTACCAGTTCCAACCGACAAGCATGCGGGTTGTGCTCGATGATCAAGGTACTGCGTTCCACCTCTACTCTCTTGACTTTTGGTCCTTGAAACTTAGTATGAACCATGCGAGGGTCCAAAGATGGCATCAGAGGTGGTGTCCACATGTGCGACTTCCCAAGGCAGCCCAAAATATGTGATTTCTGGCTGCAAATATACTCTACAGATGTAGTTTGATGTACAAGGCCTAACCCATCATTTTCTAACCTTTGGGTCTTAAGAACGTGGCTTGTGGGCAAAGTTTGTGTTGGTACGTGGGGAAGATGGGGAATGCGCGCTCGCGACGCATATGGGATGACTCGGAAGATGCCGAGATTACCTACCACGCGGTTCGCACGCGCCGTAGCTTGGACGCCTTTTCGTCGCAACCGCCGGCTTCCACAAGCTACACATCCTCGATGTGAGCTTCTCTGCCAATCAGTTACTGGTACATTCTTTCGATCATCGACCTCCAAGCATGCGCCTTGTTCCTCTTCCTACGTGTAGAATTTTGCGATCCGGGCCTTCAAAGCTAGCTATGGACCACATGCAGCAACGATAAGCAGTGAAGTCGCGCTATGGCTATAACGCCGACACTGCCTCTCACGTCGCCGACCCAAGGCACCAACACAACGTGATTCGTGTCTGGATGCCAGCCCCCGGCTTCTTGGGCACGGCATATCGTGGCTATGGCACGACTGTGATGATGGGTGGCCTAACCTCTCCACAGCGAAGGAAATTCGCCGAACGGCTCACCGTTCTCTCATAATGCTGTAGACGATCACTTCCACGCCTGCGGTCGCACTCCACAAATCACTCCCATACCCAACACTCGCTCAATCCAACAGGCGGGGAGATGTTGTCGACAGTCTGTCTGCTCCTCGCAACCACACTGCCAGTGCGTGGCGCCTTCACCGAGTTTTTCTTCGCAGGCAGCGTAGGAATTGGCGATTTGAAGGCATGTCCAAAGTCTTCATTCGGGTGTGACGCGCCATCGGTCTGCGCCTTCGATGATCGGACGGAGAAGTATTATTGCTGCATACCAGGAAGTCCAGATGCTGTGTGCTGGGGACCTAGTTCAGATTGCGATGGAGGAGACAAGAGAACGCCCTCGGGCAGTCAACAAGGTTGCTCGACTGGCATTAACGCCTTTTGCTGCTTAAAGTCGAGGTGAGCAAACCTCTCAACGCCGCAATACTTAACGTTGCGCATGTAGCTGACAAGACCTAGCGAGACATGCACGGAAACAGCAGACCAGACGAACATCTGCTGGAGTAAACTAGACAACCCCCTCATTTCCCTCAACGCGACCGCCGTAAACGAAACAGCGCAGTCTCTCATATCGGCTCGCCCTTCGGCCCCTACCTACGCGATCAGCCTGTCTGCTCTACAAGCGCTTTCGCCGACCAGCGCGGCTGCGTCGTCAGTAACCCCGAGCGTATCCGGAGGACAACCCATCGCTACAACCTCGCCGTCTGGAGGATCACAAGAAACGGCTGCCTCGCCCCCTTCACCAATCGCGACAAAGGACAAAGCGTCGGGTCTCTCAGGTGGCGCGATAGGCGGCCTGGTCGGTGGAATAGTCGGTGGCCTCGCTCTACTCGGTCTGGCTGGATTTCTGTTCTGGCGCAGAAAGAAGAATGGCAAGCGAAATCCGTATGAGCCAGCCAATTCGCATACCGCGCCTATGTACCCAGCCGGTTCTCCTGGTGAAATGGACTCAAACCAGACGTAT